TAACGGTACGGTCGTACGTACGTACGTACGTAGTACTACTACTACGTACGTACGTAGGTTGGTTAGTAGTAGAAGAGTAGTAGTACGTACGTACGTAGTACTACTATATATATATATATATATATATATATATATATAGACAAAGACACGCATCACGTACACACACACATCATGCAACATAATATGTGCAAGGTGAATGTGGAAAAATAGAAAGACTATACAAGCACTCACAGATTCAAGAAAATCCTCAGCTATCTCCACAAGAATATCTTCAAGTTCAGGATCCAGTTTTTCAGAAGCATCGATCTGGTCCAAAAGTGACACACAAATCAGACAGTTTGCAAAAAATGGACCTACAGGTTAACCTAGAAAAAAGAACAAAAACATCTTAGTAATAGAATACATTCAATGTTTAAACATAATCTCCCAATTTCAGGCTTTCATAATTTCTTATTCTAAGAATAATCGTGAACCATGCCATATAAATATTTCACTCGAACGAAAGAATACCACAAACAAAGGGACTAAAAACAATTACAGTCCAGTAGGGTCTTCATCAATCAATGAAATGGATGATGAAGAGACACCAGGGCCCATCCTTGAGACCATGCGTCATTTTTGTGGTTCTCGTGAGTCCCCCAATCTATCCATCATTGACCATCACTAGATTGGATATCGATGATCCCAATGGACTACCATAGTCCACTGAATTGTAGTACACTGAATTGTAGTATGCCTTACACTTTTAGCATACCTGTGCAACTAACTCTTGTATGCTCCGCTTGCTCAGTATGTGATTACTCGTTTCCACCACTTCCGAAACACCCATTTGAGAAAGTGAACCAGCTTGGGCCCCTCCTCCTTGCAATGCTATGGGTGTTGAAGGCTTTTGAGTCGATGCCAGTGATCTTGGTGCAGGCTGTTGATGTTGCATTCTTGATTGCTGATACTGTTGAGTGAAGTGCTCTGGTGCAGGTATTTGTGGGGAATAGTGGTGAGGTGGTGGCAGATTTTGTTGGTGGGGTGTGGACTGTTGGTTTTGTTGAGGGTGTTGGGACCTTTGTTGCAAGCTTTGGGGCTTCATTTGTGGACGATAAGATGGAGAGGGTATAGAAGGAGGTGGGAGCATTTGTTTTCCTTGAGTTGTCATCCATTGCATTGATTGTTGATGGGAATGAGAACCCTGGGGAGCTGCGGGGGATTGAGAACTGCCTGAGCCCATTGATGGGCCTCTTGACATGTTCGGACCCTGGAACTTCTGCACATTTGAACAAAAAAATAGTTATAACTATTCCGAAGAAAGCTAAGATTATATGATGCTGCAGCTAACTAGGTAATCACTAAGAACCATTATCCATCCATCCCTCCTTGCAGAACAATCAATCTCATGAAACAAGATAGACTGATAAAGAAGCTCGAAACGAAAATCCTTTTAGTTACCAGAAATTCAAAAACAAGGTATAGCTATTAGGTCTCATGCTGATTCTAAGGATTGCATGAGGAACTAATAGGTCTTTAAGGCTGAGCCACCTAGATTGGAGGCAACAAAGGATAGCTTTACATGAACATTTCCAACATTTTAAAGGTTTCCTGAAGTTTAACTTCCAAGGCTTAAAGTTAACCCCTTTGAGGTGGATTTGCCATCCAGTAAGTGTCTTTCCTTTTCATTTTTGATAAGCGGCCATCAATAAGTTTCTACCGAATGAAAAACAGTTTGTCAGTGTTGAGAGAGGCAGTCCAGGTAGTTGGGCTGGCGCCTACTCTCCTAGGCGGCCCAAAATAGAGCCAAAGGCGGGGAGAAGTGGCCGTTGGGGTTTTAAATGTAAAGTTGGGTGGGGGTTTTGGGGTTTTTGAGATTGGGATCTGTCTTCAAATGAGCTTGATTGTTTTTTTTGTGTGTGTGTCTTGGGGGGGGGGGGGGGAGCTCATCCATGTGGACTAATTGTTTGGGGCTTTTGAGATGCAAGTCTGTCACTAAATAAGCTCAATGGGGCCTTAGAGAGAGAGAGAGAGAGAGAGAGAGG